TTCGCGACGACGTGTCCATCCTCGAGTTCTTTTCTTGCCTCCGCGTACACGAGGTGGGGCCGATCTCCTCGATTCTAGCCGGGACCCTCTTCTTCCCCCCTTCGAGCGTTCCGCTGGCTCGATTGTCGTCGATTAAACCGAGTCTTCCCTCGTTTTTTCGTCTAGTAGCGGATCCCGGGATGCCTTTTTGCGAGGGCTGCCTCGCAAGAAAGGGAGTACAAGCGAGTGACGGGACTGTTAAAGCTCGTTACGCATATAAATTCGGCATGTTGAATTTTGTTAATTTAAGACACGATAGATTAGTCAGCGATATGCTCGCGCAAATGCTGAATTTATTGCCCTTAGAGTGAAATCTGTTTAGTGGAAAATGCATTGTTAGATCGTGTAATCGTCGCGACGAGAGATTAGCGATTGAATTTTAATGCTGAAAACCTGCTGTCATATATTTAGAAGCCTATCTCATAATAGAGGACTTTCCTCTATATGTTGCATGTAAAAATTAAATAAAATTGATTTACTTGTCACTTGTTATAATTGAAGGATACAACTTTTTATGGAATTATGGAACAGGAACTAGGATATTTACAGTTGTTTCTTCATTTACGTTTACTTTTATATTATTATTTTTACTTCATGTCTCTTATTGGTTTTAATTTCGTCAAATTACTTGTCATTTAATTATCATTTCAAGTGAAGCAAATAAAATGGGCAAATATTAGTCCGTGGAAAGTTACGAAATCGCAATCGGCAAACGGAAGACGAATGACAACAGTGCCTGACCACTCCAATTCCCATTAGCTCGCCTTCAGCGATATTAATAGGCGCGGGTGTGCAAAACATTCGCGGCGTAAGCGGCGCTCGTCAAACACGACGTGTTTGCAATAACGCCGTAACTTTATTATCCGCCTCGGGGATTGGTCTTTTAGTATCGACGCGCAGCGGCCCCGCCGTTTATTTGACTAACGGGGTGAGAAGCGCGTGGCCACTAGGAAACGGGTCTTTGAAGTCGAAAGGTCGGATAAACCTCCTGTTAGAAGTTGCCTTCGCCTCCTATCCGCGGCGTACGTGACGCTTTTCCTCATGGAAACTACCAATGCGAATTACAGACGCATGAGAATAGACCGAGGCGTCATCGTGATGAATTAGCAAAGTGCATCGAGTGTTATTTTAACTTGTACTGCGCGTCGATTCAATTTCAGATACTATTATTAAATCGTTTGGATCATTCCGATAGAAATCTCGTAATTAATTGGTCCATTCACAGTGGCATGGTTTACGACTGCGTAGCAAAATATTTGAATATGAATGTTATGTCAAGTCATACGCTGACAGAAAAAAAATGGTTACAGATACCACAATCTCACTATAATTTACAGTCATTTTAGGAGCCAACCACATTTTTATAATTCTTCCAACTACGTAAGTTATGGTTGACCTAACAATGTATTATAGTTCTCATAGACACAATATTGGTCCATGCAACTTATGATATATACCTACATATAATAGTTAAAAGCATATATTTTATAGTGAATTTTTTAAATAGTTGGCATCACTGTATTTATATGGTTTTTATTACTAATATTATAGTAATAATTATTGTACTATAAAAATGATATTCCTGACTGTAATTATTTTACTAGGCAATTATAGTTTCAAACAAATTTTTCTATCAGTGTAGATTTAACTGATATTTCTGATACGAAGGTATCTTATAAGTATATCATACATATAAGAAATTAAGTACGGCACGTTTTTCGAGATTTGCATGAAGCATGGCGATTAGAAAATTCATTTGAATAAGTCGTGCGTAAAAAGCCACGTGTAAATGTTTACTATCCACAACGGACATAGCCATATTCCCACTCTCCCATAAAATTCGCACATCGTAAGACTTTTTCACTACCGCGACAGCCCGCACTTAATACAATGTTTAACTTCTCGTAGTTTCGCGTACTGCAACTTCTCGGAACCGCTATATCTATGTCGCTCGTCTATTATCTCACGCCTAGGTTTAGTTGCATTCTCGCGTAGATTGATGCCGAGTCGAGAAATAGTACATGCGTTGATTCCAGGAAGATTTCGCAGCTTCTGACAGCTGGTCGTGATCTAAGAGAACTGGGAAGCGTGCGTAAGATCATGTCTTCCATCTGTTCCCCCTCTGATCGATATAAGGAAAAACCCGTCAATCAGGAAAAAAATTATTTGAGATTGCGTAATAAAGAATTAAGGATGTCGATGGGAGGAAAATGTAGGATACTTTAACAAAGATAGAGGACATGTGTTGGTGGTAATATGATATTTGGTGGACCGAGCGGTACTCTTTGTTGAGAACATCCTGCTTGATCCGATAATGCAATATGTTTTATGTGAACGTTTTCGTTACGAAGGCAGGATACCGTCTCCTCTGGAGAACCCTCGTAACAGATTGAAGAAGCTTCGGCGCTTGTCGTCCGTCAGACTCTATCGGGACCAAAGGCCTTAACAGGAATATCGACGAATCCAAGTTCCTGCAGCTTGTACTCTGTCAGTGGGCCTGATCGTCCCGCGAGACGTTACATGTGCCATATTTTGCTCCAACGAGAGCGATGCTGCTCTTCTTTTTTTCCTTCCCCCTCCCCTCTTCCTCTCTCTCTGTCTCTCTATCCTGTCCATATCTCTTCCTACCTCTCCGTTTCGCTCGTGCGCAAAATCATTCCCCGATCTCTCGATCCTCGATTTCTCGTGAATTCTCATCCGCGTATCATCTCGCGTATCATCTCCGTTCTTGTCGTCGTCGTTCTCGGTTACAGTCCGCCACTCGAGGTGGAATCCTCCTCGCCCAAATGACGATGTCACTCTCGTGCACGACTCTCCATGTCGTACTACCTCTGGCTTCTTATTCCCGTTCGTGCAGAACGAAAAGCGGGCGATGGGAAGTGCAGGGGGGAAAGACGGGCGGGGAGGGGGAGGAGGGGACACATTGGGAACGGGCGCGCGAGCAACCGTCCTTAACGGAATTATTGCCATTAAGGTCGTTGCATTCCCGAGAGGCCGTCGTGTACGCGCCCCGGCATCCTACCGACGCAGAACTAATGATCTTAATTAACGTTTCGTAACGAAGGTCGCCCGGACTGTCCTCTTTCTTCTTCTTCTTCTCCATTTCTTCCTCTTCCCTCCCTAACCCTTCCTGCGCCCCCACCGTTTCTCTTTTTACCTTTCCGCCTTCGTGTCCATCCTCCGCGCGGATCCGCGCTTCTTCCACCTTCCCTCCTCCGTGCCTTCCTCTGGTGCCCTTCTGCCTCCGAGTCGGCCTCCTCGACTTCGTAGTTCCCACAGCTCGTAGTTCACTCAGAATCCATTTCGCTTTGTACCTCTTTTCTTTTCTACCCCCAGCGCAATCATCAGGCTGTCCGCTCTCCGCCCCTCCTCTCTCTCTTCCCTCTTTACACCCTCTCGACATACTTGTCCGTTCTTTCCGTTTCTACAGCGTCCTCCTTTCCCTCCGTGACATTCGCGCGTTCCTTCTTTTTCTATTTCTTCCTTTCTCATTCGTAGAATTGGTTACGTCGTGACAAGTTTAATGCACCGGAGCTTTAATTATCGTGTTATGGCATTAGCGTGTTTAGATTCGACTGTCGTACCTACTATTCGCAATGCACTTATCTTTCTTCCTCGCCTTCCTCGACAGTTGTTCCCCGTCGTTATTCTCGCGGAATTGCGGCGCGGTATCGCAATTCTCGTGTTCTCTTAGGCCCGTATCGGACTACGGATTGAGATTGAGATTAGACTTGACACCGATCAGAGTAAAATTCATTAAACTTGATATTAGTAAACTTTACTCTGATTGGTCAAATTTCTATCTGATCTCAATCTTTAAGAAGTTGCACGTTCGAACACAATCATAATCGTAGCTTATTCTCCTGTCACTTCTCGCCGTTCCATACGACCATGTGATCGTGGACTAGAAGAAAGATGAAGAGAGGAGGAAAACCGAGAGACAATAACTTCCATCGGCATAATAATTTCACGTTCTGTCGGTCGCAATTGCACGGCGTCAATGCAATTACTATAATTCACTCGTCGTTAGTAAATTACGTGTTTCAAGCTAGCCACTTTAGCCGCGCTGTCGAATAAAACGCGTGCAGAAATTTCACGCTCTTTCCTTGTTAACTCATCGGCCTGTTATACTCGTTGCAGAATGCGATCTAATTATTCACGTAGCGGGCGCGAAAACTTGGTAATATTAAAGAATTCGCTGAGAATGACAAATCTCTCGTGTTGAGACGATGCTAATGGGGTAAATCCGAATTCTCAGTAAATAGCGAAGCTCTCCGGCTGATTTATGAGGCACAACGGTGTGCGTAAGGTGAAATAAATTCTGATCCAAACACGAGCGATTAATCGCGAGGATCAGGGCTGCGCCGAGACACAACAGTCGTGCTCGTAGAGATTCTACGGGCTCCAGAAGGAACGGATAAGCGTCGGGAGAGAGGAGAGCTTCCGCTTAATCTCACGTTCACGCGGGCTCGTTCCTTTTTCCACATTGCGCGCGGAAAGATATTGCGTAGCTAAGTAACCGGCAAGCCGCGGGATTTGTAGCTTCCGTAAATTATTCTGATCGTTCTCCTCTCTAGCGCGTGTCGCGTCGCGAGGGAACGACGTTGCCCCGAGCTCCTCGCGGTTCGCGTGATATTGTATCGTTGCCTTGAATATTTCGCGCAGATAAATTAGTTAAATGCTACAAGCCTCTTGCGTTTAGACTGCTATGTTTTTTATATTGTTCAACAACTTCTGCATGTTATAGTTGCATCTTTATTTATCAATTTATCTTTTCGTCTATATTTATATCAATATTCATCTAACGTCACGGTTTAACAAATTGGTAAATTTAAACGGATGGAAAAGGTGTGGGTATACTTTATAACGACGTCGTCGTACTTTATCGGTGATTCTGAGTTAACAAAGTTATATTTAATGTGTAGTATGACATATTTAACCATGTATTTTTATTTTTACAGGACTGTAGGAAGCCAGCTGGTGATGGATCCGATGCTCGTCTGCAAGAAAACAAGACGGCTGAAGGGGAAGCTAGCTGACATTTGTCGTAAGGAGCCATCTCTACTGAAAGAAATTGCGAAGGGCGTTCAAGTGGGAACCAGGGAATGTCAGTACCAATTCCGAAATCGAAGGTGGAACTGTACAACCGTCAGGCGATCTCTCAAGAAGATTCTGCTCCGTGGTAAGCCTCATCGGGAGTTAAAGAATTTTTATTACGTTTAATTTATTACAATTAACACTATCTAATATCTACTAACGCTGTCTATTTAATACGATAGATTACATATCTTTAACTATTTTCAATATTTAAATCGATTTAAATCGTGAAGGAACTAATTTATTTACAATTTATTATAAACGAAGGGAATTTAAAGATCCGCGCGCGTTTATCTCACCGCGGCCCTTTATGCACGTCGGACACTCGATCCCGTAAATTCGTGAATCCGGTCACATTATTCGCGAGTCATGGGTGCAAGGTCGATCAGATGCTATTCCGGGGCCCGGTCTCGCCCTCTCGCCGAAAAAGGGATCCTCGGTCCTACGGTGCCCCTTTCAGGAGCGAGAAGGGGGCCCGCGCACGACAATGCACACGCTAGCGGCAGATTACAGGGCGCTACTCGTTCGACATTAGGCGAACCGGATGTCGATTACACACTCCCCTACAGGGCCTAAGGGCGATTCGTTACGATTAAATGCCGGTGCCCGATCGGCACACCTCCAGAATGGGCTACCCCTTTAGGACCTTTAAGGACCTTTCTACGTGCGGGGCCTTCAAGGGGCCCCTCCGCGTGTGGACCATGACGTTGACCACTTTGTACCGGTACGAGTCTATTAACGATCGTAAAACACAATGCAACAATAGCCTCGGTATTTTCATGTTTTCATTTAAGATAATCGACTATTATTCAATGAAAAATGATATCGTATTATTAAATATTTTTTGCCCTCCATTGTTTTGCGCGGCCTCCGTTGCGCACCGTATTTCCAAATTATATTTACCTAGAGTTATATTCACACGTTTGAATTTTAACTAGGAAGTAGATGAGTAAAAAAGGATGCAGTTAGAAAAAGAGGGAAACGTTGCAATATACTTTGGGTAACATATATTTTTCTTATTATGACATCTTGCAATATAATTTTATTTTATTGTACAATTTAGAGAGAAACGGTTTTCCTTTCTATCTTTAAGACTGTATGCCTTTTTAGAGTCGGGATACATTACGAACGGATGAGTGGTAATTATTTTTAAATTAGCCTCAATGGGGGATCCTAGAGATAACGTTTTAGTGGCTAGAAAAAAGATAATGACTACTCTCTTTAATGTTGGGACTGTTTCGACACGTATACGACTGTGAAATCAAACTGCAAGGTGTCACAGCAAATAGTAGCGTGTAGTAATATGATAATAATGATAATGTGGTCGTTGTTGCCAACAAGGATACTTAACTGGTCGGAATGTTGAGAAATGGAAGTTCCACGAATTATATTATTATATACCGCCCGTGTCACATCCGCGGTCGTGTCATTCCGTTAAAAAATTGATTCTTTATGACTTCCTTGTTTTTTCGTCTGCCATTTATGGCAAAAAACCAAGATAATTAGTGTACTGAAGTAAAAGGAGAAGAGAACTTTGTCGAAAGTACTCTTGAAAACTTCTTTTCACTCGTATAATATCAATGCAGCGTACGTTTCATTATGAGAGTACAAAATCGTATAGAAATTTTTCTAAATACAAATAACTTTAATAGAATATTTTTAAATAAAAACAGACGCGGTAAACGAGGAAATGTGTTCTTAAGACGTTAAGACAATTGTTTCCGTTTTCGATTCTATGATATTGATTTATTAATAGTTTTATGTTGTTATATTTTGTATTTTTTATTGATTATTTTTCATTTTCAAAAGCTCGTTGTGGCAAAGATATACTGTAACGGTTTCCATTTAAAAAGTCACATATCTTATTATATTTTTTAATAGAAAGGTTTTTATTTTAAATATTTATTTCTCAATATACGTTTTATAAATTTAGCACATGAAAATGGCCGATAGATGCTGACTTCCATGTTTTTTAGTTTATCTCGAGATTAACGTATAGGTACTTGTATCAAAAAACATCTTCATTAGCCTTTATTTAAACACACAATAGATGCGTTTGGTCATGTCGTGAACTGTAAGAATTTGATAGACAAACGCGGGCGAATTTACTCTCGATTACGATCCGTTGACGATACGGGACGATGCCGTTGTCGGTCGATTGATCGGCTCTCACACATGATCAAATACGGCCACCTTCTTTCTCCGCGCGGTAAATTCGAATCTGAAGTATCCGACGAAAGATGAAACTGTCCGCGTGGTTCGCCCGTTCGGTTAGCCATCCGATATATTAATTTCGGATGATTGGCCACGACAACCAAATCGAAGACAGCGTGTCCAATAGTCTGTGCTGGTTTCTAGAGCCCGCTATCAGATCGGTGTCTTATGGTAGCTTGACAGATTGACACTGTCCGTCCGATATTAGTGGCAATATGTTCCCTTAATTAAAGCCTCACTGCCACGACGGGCCGCGGCCAGTCTTTCGATTTTGTCTCCCGCTTTCGCCTTCTCCTCTTCTCTGCCCGCTCTCTCGCGATCTAGAGATCGCCGTCAATCCTATCGATCGTGATTTGATGCAGGATCGTCGGGGGCTCTCTCAGGTAAGACGCTAAATGCGGACGCGTGTGGAATCCATGCCTGGCGATCGATGATCGAATTAAGCACGACACCGTCGGCGATGCCTGACGATCGGCATTCACTCGTGAGATGCGGGAGATAGTATATTATTAACGAGACAGCCTGTCGGCCCGAATAAATAAAGCGATAGTTTAATTAAGCGAATTAGCATCACGCCCGGCTGACGCTAAAATTAATGCTTTCGTTTATTTTTTTAATATTTCGTTAATCCAAACGCCCTGCAATATTCAGACGAAGCAATAAAAGTAAGAAAAGCAGGTGACAAATCAGTTTATCGAATAATCGCTTTGTGTAGCGAGGCATTCAGTGGAGTCAGGAATTACGCCTTAAAAATCGTGGGTCTCTGTTGGGGAAAAGGTTGAACAGCAGGTACATAAATCTGATCTACAGAATCCATTATTGGACGATGCGGTTCGATGACAGGGGCAGCAATGTGTTAACCGCTCGTTCCGGGTGACAATTCTCGTCGTCATTTATCTGTGACTCCGTTCGCGGACAGCTCGCCCTAGGAAGTCCCATGTTATACCGTTATACCGTTTTTGTTGGGCTGTTTTGTAGCTGCTCTATGTATTCCTACTTCCGTATTACACCGCACTCTTATTGAATTACCGTCAGGAAGTAACATTATCACATTGTTGTTATTAAATCACTATTGTATAATACATTGGACTATCAATTATCTGCTGTTCGTTATTTCGATTGCTTGATTCAAAAATCGAAATTTACCGAATTTGATAAATGGCCACAGTCCCAACATAATTCGATCAATTTTTTGGTGAAACCATTCTCTTATGGTTTTCTACTCTTATCCTTTAGAATAAAATTTGCGGCTTTAAAAGTATTAAGTTGAGTAAACCATTATTGATCCGTCGTTTTTAATTTTATCTCTTTTTTTATCTTTAACGTAATATCTTATTTTTATTGGACATCTCTCTTTTTTTATTATTAGAAGTCTAGATTTTGCAATCGTAATAGAGTCTATTGACACACGTTGAGACTATTATCTGCCTACAAGCTGAAGACAGGTCGCGGTTAGGAATCTAGGCGGGAGAAATATACGACTTTCTAGGCCACCCGTCTTGACTAGAAAGATTTTGAGGAACACGTGGAATCTGGCTACCGAATCCTGCCTCGAGCTCTTCTTTTCCCTTCGAAAGTTTAGGAAGAATAGTTATATAAGAAGAGCAGAGATAAATATTTTTTGTCTTTTAACAGGAAAAGACGAAGTAATCTAGTGAAATTAATCGTTTTCACCTGATTCTTCTATTTTCTGTTTGGACAAAACAGTGAAATAATAAGCAAGAAATATACAGAAGCATGTTAAAAATAAAATTGATATTATAAAAGTAATAACGTAGCACTATAGATTTTTCGTTTGTATTTTATAATCTTTATTAAATTATAAATATGGTTGAAACGCTCTTTGTTTATAAATGTAAGATGTTTTCCGAAAAACAAAGAACTATTTTTTAAGAACGTTGCTCTAAACTAGATGAAATTGTTCAATTACGTCATATGACGATCAATGACGATGACGTTCGATAATGTCTAGTAACAATGTACTTGCAAGAAGAGAGAGAGAGAGAGAGGGGGGGGGGAGGCTTGCAGGTTCCCTTTTTTTCCAAGCCGTACGTTCGACTGGTGATACATCAGAGGTCGATGTCGCTTATCTATCGTCCACTCCCGGATACGTCTCTGGGGAAAAATTCCTAACGGGTGGGATGTGGGGAGGGAAAAAAGCGCACGAGGGCCCACGCTACCGGCGGCGCCTATCTTAATTCCCGATTGACGTTTATTTATCTGGCGACTTTTAATTTTTATGGGCGCGATCCGGGCGATAGCTTAGGCCCAGCAGGTAGCTCCCGCTGTGTGGTCCCGGGGACCCCGGCGGCCCCCGGAGCCTGGTATAACATTCGTGGACGAGCAGCACCTCTTAATTGAGGGGTGCCGCGTGTCGCGATAAGACGAACACGGGCGTCAAAAACCCGTAGAAAGAGCTACCTCTGGGGTAAAAGGGAAGCGGAGGAGGTAGGAATTTATTGTGCTGCCCCGCGCAGAGATCCCCAGCTCCCCTTCTGGCAGGTACAATCATCGAATCGATGGGCTTCGACCAAATTAAGAGAGTGGTTTTCTTCATTCATCCCGGGATTCCACGGAATTCACGGAGTGACGAAGAAAACGGTCGTCTAAGTGGTCGCCTCCTCGGATCAACAAATTGTCCTCTCTTTCTCCTCTTCTCTCCTCTCTGAACACCCGGAGTGAGTGGAAAGGGAAGAGAAATGGCCACGGTCACAACGTAACGATTTGATTCTTTCATTGAGAGGAAGCCCGAGGTTGACGGCCCACATTGTGGCTTTCTCGAAGAATTTTCTCGCAGCCATTATAAATCTCAGATCCGAAAAATAGAGTCGCGTCACGTTGATTCATCATTACAATTAGATTGAACGCTCT